TTAAATATTCTTAATGAAGTTTTAATATACTTTATTTATTTATGCTGTAGCATTTGGAACTGAAAAGAAAGGAAGTTGTTCCATTAAGCATTGCATTTTTGTATTTGACATTTACTATATGCAAATTTTCATCATTATTTTTTTCTGAATGCATAAAATTTTTGTATAAATCTGGCTATTGTACTTGAGTTTTGTACTATTGACTAATCTGGCTATTGTACTATTGACTTGTTTGCCCAAAAGAGGCATTGGCCCAAATGGTCTGTTGGTCTCGATACAGGATTTTCCATCGTCCACTATAAACAGCTATATCAATTGTCACCAAATATTATTACCCTGTATTATGTTTAAAGAAATTAAATAATGAAGAATCTGCATGTATGTTCCTTGCATTGTGAAAACATGACGGTACCTAAAGCCATCAAATTTTAGTAACATAGTTTTCCACTCGAACATGTGCACCTGGAAGCCCAAATTTTGAGTTTTATTTTTCATATTTTGTAAAACTTTAAATCAACAAGTATCCTCTATATATATATTGTGTAACTCAGTGATTAAAAAACTCAGTGATTTGAAAGTGAGCAGTGACAATGCTATGTAGAATAAAACATTTTTGTCTTCTGTGCTCGAGACTGTCAGAAATTCTAAAGATATGCTGCTCTTAAATATTTTGTGATTTTGTTGTTAAATTGAATTTTATGTGTTTTAAGTGCGAAGAACATGATATTTAATGAATAAAGTTAACACACAAACTGTAAATAATAATTTTTTTTCTGAAAGCCATCTTTTTAAGAAAACTGTACACTGATATGATAAGCTGAGAAAGATTGAAGAAAGAGAAAAATGTATGGCAACACTTTATCAGGAATTCTAAACATACGCTGCTTTTAAAATTTTTATAATTTTGCTGTTAAATTGTATGTGGCATAAGTTTAACGTTAAAGCTTTAAAAAAAAAAAAAAAAAAAAAAGCAGCAAGTGGTAGACTGCAAGCTCAGTGAGAGCATAAAAAAACCTTAACAAATCCTTTTGAGCTGTTGTTAAAATCTGAAACCTTTCAAATTTTTTTTCTTAAACAATTATATTCATTTTAATTTTTTAAAAAGTTTTAGATATATTTTTAGAATTAGATTTTGAAGCATTTGTACTGTTTGACAGCTGTTAAGTTTATGTAATGGCTTGCAGTTAGTACAACAGTGCTATATAAAATATAAAGCACTATTGCGAAAGCTGTCTGAATGATCTTGTAACATTCAGTCATTTTATAGTGCTATATTATTAAATTTATTTTTCATTTATTGTTACATTTGGTAAATTAGGTTTAAAAAAAAACCCACCACCAGCAAAACAAAAAGCTTTAAGTCTTAACATCATTAATTTTTGGTATCATTTCAGATTGTTACTCAAGCTATCATATACTATAAAATTAGCATTTAATAATCTTTTTCCATTAATTTATGTGAAAATATGTAAATAAAAATGCTTGCTTTGAGAAATAATTTTTGGAAGTGTTCAAATTAATCCAAATAATAAACTTTAAAATTAATAAAAAAATGCAAGGCTATTTATTGGGTCAGTCCATAAATTCGTGCGCATTTGTTGGTAATTTTTTAAACAATATAAAAAACACAATTTAACATTTTAATCAATTATATATTTTCCTCCATTATCTACAATGTCTTGCTATCTTCCTTACAGCTTACAGCCATTGCTTTAGAAAGACTGGTTTTGATGCAAAAAAACTTGAAAGTTCATTGTGTACATTCTGTTTAGAATTTAATTTTTTTTCCCAGTAAAAAATTTTGTAAGGCACAAAATAAGTGCAAATCACTTGGGACAATATCTGGGGAGTAAGCAGGATGTGGCAAAAGCTCGCAATTAAATTCACTAATTTTTTGCAGCGTTGTTCCAGCCGTATGCGGTCTAGTGTTATAATGATGAAACAACACTTTCTTGATATTCACCCATCGTGGGCATTTTCTGATCAATTGCGAGTTTAGACGGCAAAGTTGTTCACTATAAACTTCTGAATTAATCGTTTGATTTGGTTCTAAGAGTTCAACACATCCTGAACGGGGTTCATCATCAATGCTGCTTGTTCCAACTTTAAATTTTTAAACCATTTCTGGGCAGTCCTTACACTATTAGTGTGTTCACCATGTACACTATTAATTTTTATTGCTGCAAACCTGACAGATTCACCACACGAAAATAAAAAATGTAGCACAGCACGTTTGTACTGATTATCTATATTCATTTTCTATGGGTACTAAAATGTGTTCGATATTTACGAAAGTTGGTGATGAACTGAATAATATGTTAATCAAACAGTGACAAGTTTCAACAGGTTCAAAATTGTATTATTTTAGTAAATGCATCATAGTGAATTCCATGCATACTCTCAATGTACACGAACTTATGGACTGACCCAATACTATAAAATTCAAAATGATTTGAAATCTGTGTATTGTACAAATACATATTCAAGAGGTTCAAAATTGTACTTTTTTAGTAAATGCGTCATAGTGAATTCCACGTATAATCTTAATGTGCACAAAATTATGGACTGACCCAATACAATTCGAAAATTTTTTTTCATAATATTTGGAAGGCAGGAACTCGGTAAGCTCAGTCTCTGACAAAATGTCCATATCAAAATCACTAGAAATATTTGGAACTCTTTAGAAAATGAATTATCACTCGCATTTATGTCACTGATTGACTCATTTAGCATGCCAGTGTATCCTTCCTCTGATAAATAACGCTTGCTCTTCATAATTAACTGAAGTCAAGGCTTTCTAAAATAAATAAAAAATCAGCACAAAGCGTAACAGAACCCCACACAGTAACCCTAAAAGGCACTACATAGTGTATGTGGGGAGGAATAATAATAATAAAAAAAAAAAAAAAAAATATTTGAAAGGGTATCAGAAACGTGAATGTTTGTATCACATATATAACATGGCGAGTTCAAGAGCCAAGCTCTGTTTGTTTACGTTTTTCTTCTTTCCTAGCAACAGCTGACACCAAAGTTATGCAGAATGTGATCAAACTGAAGGTCAGAATCCTAGAACTATGTACTGTTCAAAAGTAGTTGTAGTATAAACACAGGATGCCATCTAGTTGTCCAAAAAGTGGCTCAACGTGAAATGCACTTATGCATCATCCATCCTCTGAGCGCATCCTCCTGTAATGCATGGGTGGGACACGCAGTTGTGAGAGACGTTTGTAGAGAATGCCTGTATGGGACGCCCATCCAGAAAGGGTTAAATGTCACCTACTGTAAATGCATTGTTTCATTTTTCTATTGAGCTTTTGCTGCCATTTTGTTAAATATAATTAATCTTCTAAATCCAATCTGTGTGTTATTGATTAGATGAAATTATTTAAATAATAATCTATTTAAGTTATAATATATCTAATTAAAAATATTAAATATTTAGTACAATTGCTTATATATTTTAAGTATATAGAAGATAAATAGCATTACCATGTTAGTCTAAATGTACATTTATATAGTATCCTATAAAAAATTTTACTGTTCCATCGTGGCCATCTTTATTGATGATCTTTATTTATAAACCAAGCTAAGCTTTAAAAGAGCTTAATAATTTTTTTTTTGTTAACTCTAATTTCAACTCGTCATGTTCTACAAAGTATACCACAGGGTTTACACAAGAAAGTTATAGCACTAAAAAATAAATAAGCAAATGTACAATAACACTACAATTGGGAAAAATTGTATAAAAAATAATAAGTAAAAGAAAATAAAATATTAAAAAAAGTAATAAAATAAAGTTATTAGTTATTAGTCTAAAAAAAAGTTATTAGTCTAAACTGAGAATGGAATTCCAATAAGCAGAAATTGCCTCTTTGGTCCGTAAAAGTTTGAAAAAAATTGGTGTCCAAGGATACAGACAGGTGTTTCAAAGTTGCCTGAAGATTATCTTCCTCTGCTGGACATGATGAATACACTCAAGAAAAATATGCTTTACATCTGCACGCCATTACCTCAGCTGAACAAAGCATTTGAAGCAAGTCCAAATTGCTTAAAATTGCATGTCCAGTCAAAAACTGAGTTACTTTAAAATCTGTTGAAAAATGATCAACTTTTATTCTGTGAAAAATTGTAGGAAAAAACCCTTTTGTGCTTTTGGTAAGGCCAGATACTGTCTGTTCGAAGTACAGTTAGCATCATTTCTGTAAAAGCGTTTCCGGCGAGAAACAGAAACACAATGATTTAAATTAATGTGAAGCTTTGTGGCTAACTTTGCTAGACCATCAGACCTCTCATTTCCACAATGTCCACGAACATAAGTAAAATAAATGCCAGAGTCAAGATCTTGCAAGTTCTTAATAACAACCTGAATTTCAACTGCAGATTTCACTGAAACACTAATTTTTTTTAAATAATTGTAGCGAATAAAGAGAATCACTGCATATTAAAATATGCATTGATCTCTAGTCACTACAAGAATTTTGAATTTATTTTACTGGAAGGTTTTAGCAACTTTGCCTAAAAAACAGTGCATTTACCATCAGTTCTTTTATAATTTGAATACTCTTTCATGTTTATCTTCATAAACAACAAAAGCAAGGCCAACCATATCATTCACCTTACTTCAATCTGAAAAGGAAATTGATTTGTACTTTTCAAGCACAGCATCAGGTTAGCCAAAAACTGGCATAGGATTCCTGTTAAAAGGATGTGATTTGGACAATTTTTCAAAAACTGAAACTTTTCAAAAAATTATTTTTTAGTTTTTTATTTACATTAGGTATCAAACTGATAAACTGTTTTAATATAAATTGTTTTCCCAGGCTTTAATTTTCTTAATTATTAGAAGATAGTAACAAATTTATTCTTTTAAGATTAGTTGTTTTTTCCTTATCTATTTTTAGTAGGAATTTGTTTTTAATTCATATGAATTTAAATCACTGATCTGCTAATACTATTATGAATTTTATCTAAAACATTTAGCAACATTATTCTCTTGTTAGGTGGGTGGAGAATGCGAATTGCATTGGCTAGAGCTTTGTATGTACGGCCACATTTGCTGCTTTTGGATGAGCCAACAAATCACTTGGATTTGGAAGCTTGTGTGTGGTTGGAAGATGAATTGAAAACGTAAACATTTTTCATTCATAGTAAAGTTTTAATTTTAATTATGAATATTTTAAGTGATTTAAAAAATTATTATAATGTTTTAAATCACTTAAAATATTTAAAAAATTATTATAATGTTTTAATCATGGTGAAACTGTTTCCTTTTAATCTAATTTTATTAACATGGTTTTTATAAATTTCAGAGAATTCTTATGTTTTTGTAGTTTATTAACTAAAAATTACTAGTGTATAATAGGAAATGTTGAGAGTGAATATTGAAAAATGAGCAATGCCATCACAGGGACTCGAACCTGGTCCTCTCAAATGTGCGCTGAATGTGCTACTCTTACACCATGAAGGCATGCAGAAAGGAGGGAGAAAATATCTTATAACATAAACATATATCTAAGAGTTTGTTCTCTGTGATTCTGAATACATTTGTTTTTAGTGATACAAGTTATATGTTGTATTGTTTTAGAGGTTTTATTCATTTCTCTTAGAGTTTGCTAGCATTGAGGTGAATATTTTTTTTTTGTATTGCACAGCGAAATATTTTTTATACTTCAAATGGCAAGCAAAATATTATGATAAAGTTTTAAAACTAATTCTGACAACTACTCGAGTATTCCTCTTATAATATGGCAAAAAATTATAACAACTGGATCACAAATTTAATTTATCCAAAGTGTTAGCAATGCAAATTTCCCATCCCCAGAAGACAGGACATTCTGTTATTGCACCATCTCAAGAGAGCAGTTTGATGACTTAGGCACCTGTCATGAAAGGGTTGAATGACACATTGTTAGCTAAATATATTTATAGAGGAAGAAAGAAAAAGAATAAGAATGAAAAAACATGAATATTAAGAAATGATTATCATTAGCATTTAAAATACCTAAATAGTACTTGCTTTCAACATAATTAAATTTTTGCTCTTAAATAGCATTTGCACTTTAAATTAGTTGTAATTGTAATATTACTGTTTCAAACTGAATTTCAGAAACCCGTATTTAATTGAGTTTCTACAGTAACAAGAGATTTTTAGATAATTTATCTGAATTGGGTTAATAACTTATTGTTAGTCAATTCTTTTAGCAAAGCTCCTTCAGAATATACTGTTCTTCTGCACAAGTACACAGATAATTATTTTTGGAATAAATATAAATTAACAATGAAGTATCTTGTTTTCAAAGCGACTTCTAAAATAAAGCAATGTTAAATAAATATAAAAGTAAACCTCAAAATGTAAATAAAAAAAGACAAGTCTTTGTTCACATATAAAATGTTTTAAAAAAAATTAGGGCAAGTTTAGTAAATTAATATTTTTTGAAAAATATTTCACCTTTTCAAGCAACATGCAAGAAAGGTGAGTAGGGGTAAATTAAAGATATTGAATCTGTAACTTTTATTAGAATACATTTTAGATTTTCATTAAAATAACTTGACACAATATTAAATTTTATTAAAACATGACACATCTTGCAAATATTAATTTGAAGATGCATTATGTTATTTTAATCTGTTGTTCTCTTTTTAGGTATAAAAGAATATTAGTGGTTATATCTCATTCTCAAGATTTTCTAAATGGTGTCTGTACAAATATAATTCATATCAACAAGAAGAAATTGAATTACTATGGTGTAAGATATCAAAGTTTTATTTTACATTCTGGGATTTTTATTTTATAATATTAAATACCTCGTTTTTTTCCAAACCTCTTAGTGTGCCTTATCTATCTTTTGTTTATAAAAGACTTTGTCCCATAATGAAAGAGTGCTGTACAATTGTTAATGAGAAATAGTTATAAGACACACTATATTTAGAACAAAAGTAAGACATGTACGAGATTTTTGTCTGTAGCTCAATTAGTGTAGCTTTCTGTTTTCATAATTTTAGTTATCTAATGTAAACAGTATAAAATTATTCAAAGGCATTTAATTTCTAAAAGATATATATAACTACGGTGAACCATCTGTCAATAACCATCTAAGGCTCTTTGTTTTCCTGTGGAGGTGGCAGTCTGAGAAAGGTGATGTCCGGTGTTGATATTAATTTATGTTGTCAGAAATATTGCCACGTTCAGATATCATCATCTTAAAGATATGATCAGTGGGAAATAGTTCCCTTTATTGCTAAATTTTGTTCTCCTGAGCTTTCAGATTTAGTTTGTCACTTTGTGATTATTTGCACCTGCATTTAAAAGTCATAAATTTCCTGGCTTGAACTTCTAGTGATAAATTTTTTGCCAAGTTAATGCACAAAAGCAAAAGCCATTTTCAAAAGGGTGGAAAGCTGAGAATTACCTACAGGAACAATTAATAAAATAAAATAAAAAAAAAAAGTAAGAATCATTGCTAACATTTTTTAAAGAAACCCTGTAATTTTATTGCATTTTCATTTTGTACGCAACAATCTGTTTTTTGCTAAAAAAATTGCACAACCTCAGCATCGCTCACAACTTTTGCATTGCACAATTGGCTAATGATCAATAAAATGAATAGTTTTTGTAAATAGAGATGACTGTTTTCAAAACTCTTTCCATCCTGCATTCTGAGATTTTGTTTGCAATTTTTCACACTGCATATCCATAAAATTTGGTTGTTTTTAAAGTACAACTTCATGGAATTTCAATTTTTGGATTCTGTATGTATTATCGGGCAAAATGCCATATTTCTGTAGAAATGCAACACTTCCTTTTTCATCAGCCAGCAAACTCCACAGTCCCATCGGGAACTGTTGCAAGAAAAACAAATGTATTCAATTGCAAAAAGAAACACTGCTCACAAAAATGATGATGGTATTTCAAAAATGTGAATTTGCGTAAATTTTAAACAGACATGTGCTACCCTACATACCTAGGTTGCCACATAAATGCTTTTTGCACATGCTGTGGGTCGCGGCATAACTACACTGATTGAAAATGAAATCCCAACACCAAGAAATCAGGTTTAAAGGAATAGAATGTAGGCAGAGCATTTGACTGGGTAACATATTTATTTATTTGATTAACGTTTCAAGATCACAGGTTAAATTGTAAAGTCATTAGATTTATTTTGAAAGCAGGCAAGATGAAAAATTAGCAACACCTTCACCGGGAATCAAACTTTGGACCTCTGGAATACCGGGTCCAGCATGCAGACCACCACACCACGAAGGCACGCTAGGAAGGTGGGAGAAATACCTTATATATCCCCCCTTTTAAAGGGCAGCTGGGGTTTTTAGGGGAACCAATTGCCAAATCCTGGGTAAGGAGAATCATCACCCTTTTAGTTCGGGTGCCACTGTAGAGTCGTTAGGTTTATTTCAGAAGCAGGAGAGATGAAAAATTAGTAACGCCTTCGCCGGGAATCGAACCACGGTCCTCTGGAATACCGGCCCAGCGTGCAGACCACAACACCACGAAGGCATACTAGGAAGGTGGGAGAAATGCCTTATAAAAGTATGCATGAAAAGAGCCAGTTCAAATATGAAATGTGGTACATTAATAACTGCAGTAGTCACTACCACGTTGAATGCAAGCATGTAAATGCACTTGCATTGTGTTGTACAGGTGCTGTATGTGTCATTTTATGGGATAGAGTTCCATGCATGTTGCACTTGGTCAGTCAAATCAGCAATGGTATTTGCTGATTTGATTTTGATGATTGTCGTCCAGTCAAGCCCATTTGTATTTGAAGGGAGAAAGATCGAGGGATCTAGCAGGCAAAGACAACATGCTGACACTGTAGAGCTCCTTTGTTGATAGCAGCAGTATAGCGATGAGCATTATCCTGTTATTATTTTAAAATGCACCCTGCTTTCTCAAGAATTTTACCATAACCTGTGCAATCATCAGTGTGATGTACGAATTTGCTGCCAAGGTATGTGAGATAATGAAAAGAGTGTTCCTGCTTTATGAAATTTCTTACTAGACCAATACTCCTGGTGTAGATCTGATGTATCTATATTGCAAACAGCCCAATTCCAAGAGCTCATCTGGCCTCCTTCTAACCAACGTATGCCATCACTGAATCAAGACAGAAATAACTCTCATATGAGAACATAACTGATTTCCACTCTGCCCTCCAATGAGCTTTTGCTTATCACCACCAAAGTTGCTGATGGGGGTGATCTAGAGTTAGTGGCAGTGCCACAACAGAGCATTTGAATCGAGCTATCCCTCAAGTAATTGATTTGTTACACTTTTCTGTGTTGTTCTGGTGATGCTGGAGATGTAGTTTGATGTGCTTCAGATATGTGTGGCAAACATGGCAGTCTTTTCTTTGAGTGGTGGCACATATTGGCCTCACTGCTGCTTTCTTCTGTAAATTCTTATGACCACTGCTACTAGCATACAAGCACTCTGTATACATCCCTGAAGTCTTTTTGCAGTGTCATAAAAAGAAAATCCAACTTCTCACAGCCTTATTATTTGGTTCACACTCATTAAACTGCTGATGCTGCTTCATCTCTTTGAAGACATTCTTGATTCAAATTTTGCTCACTGTGTGTTATTAGGAAGACAAATAAAGCATACAAATTTTACATTGCATATTTAAATTAAATGTGATTTGCATGTTCACTTATTCGTCTAGCATAAAAGCTGAAGATGCTTCATCTTTCAGATGTGCAAATACTCCTCCCAAATTTTGTTTTTACCTAGCCCAACTCCTTCTTGGTGTCGGGATTTCTGTGTATTTTAGCAGCATATTGCATTGTCTCTTGATACTTCTTTGTGATTTTTCAGTTGGGGTGAAGGTCATCAGAAAGTGCTTTTTTTTATATAGCATTTGCAATACCATTTACTTTCATAGACTTGTGATTTTTACTTTAAAAATTAAGCATTTTGATAAATTTATATATAAGTGTATTTCTTTCTAGGGTAACTATGACACATTTGTTCGAACTCGTTTAGAACTTCTGGAAAATCAAATGAAACGGTACAACTGGGAGCAGAGTCAGATAGCACATATGAAGGTAACGTGTTTTGATATGTGTTTATAAATCATGAAGAGTTTTATAAGTGAATATTGAAAAATGTTGGAAAGATCAATGATGCTAAAAGGCCGATTTGAGAAGCAGATCTTAATTATGATACTGCTTTTCTGTTTCCATGAAAGTATTTAGAAGCATGTACTGAGATCTAATATATTTTAGTGACAAATATTTTCAGGTATCATTGTATTATTATCTAGTTTTCTACACACTTTTTGTGGCAGTATAGTTAAGATATATTTTTAATTCTGTGTGTGATTTTGAATATATATATATAAAGGTTTCTCATTAGAATTTTGAAACTACTGGCTGTGAACCTACCAAAGCCATATATGCATGTCTATGGATATTTTTTATAATACCTTTAAATATATACATATGATTTTCAAAATGTATTTGAGCAATTAAGGCAGTATGTGAAAAAGGAAAAGAGGAAAAAAGTATGATGTGACAGGAACTTATTAGATACATAATTAATAAATTCTCTTTTTCATGGCATTTTTTGAGAACTTTCAGATTTAGTTAAATCTTCAGGTAGTTGAGAGATTAATATACCATTCTGCTATTGAAATATTTGAAGTAAAACCAAAGTGTAACATAGTTTTGGTTCCATTTGTTTTGAGCTTTAATTGATATAAAGCTTGTTATGCAATTGTTAATATGCAGAACAGTTCTTTTAGATCTATAGCTATATTTTAGTTGATTAGTTTGTGAATTTAATTGTATAGTTTTCTGCACATTTAGTCTCACACCTGCCTGCAGTTAGACATTTGTGTGTTTTCTTCACAGTTGTTCTCACTAGCTCCACGGCCTTTTTTGGCTTTTCCAGATGGCATTTTCACCTTTTATTGACTTTGTATGCATTTATTTATTATAATTAATTTATCAGCTATTCATGTCCTAATCTCTTAAAAAAAATCTGTACTAGATGAATCTCATAAATAAGTTATAAAAAAAAGATATTTTTGCTAAAATCATTAATTTACTAAGAAAGTGCTGGAGAGCATTATTATATAAAATTAAGTTTGAGGGATTTCTTGTGTATTGTGGTCTAGCATGCAAGCTTTTGAGTCTGTAGCATGATCTGATGCATAGAATCTTCTTTTGATTTAACTGCATGAAATATTCTGCTCTCTCTAACTAATGAAAATAGCATATTATATATTTTCAATTCCAATTAGGCATTATAACTTTGTAAAGAATTTTAAGAGAAATGTAATTTTGCATGTGTTAATTTAAAGGAAGATTAAAAAAAAAAAAAAAAAAAAACTTGCAATCTTTGTCAGTATTTAATTAAATGAGAGAAATTTATCCATTTTTATGGCAACTAACATTTCAAGAGATTTTTAAAATTCCACGAGTTAGTTTCAATTTTTGTAAATTTTTTTATTTATTGTTTCAGTGTGTAATTTTACAATATATACCTATATTATTATGAATTTTTTAAAAACTGGATTGTTTTTATTTACCTAACTGTACATAATAGTGATATTGATATTAGAGCATTGTCTTCAGTTGATGCACCAGTATCTTTAGCATGAATTATTTTTAGAAATATCGTTAATATATAAAAATATCATTCATAATAAGCAGCAATCTGTGTTGAATGCATAAGACTACAAAACACTAGGAATTTTTTCTGTGTTTAATCCTTAAAAGTGGAATGCATTGGCTGCCTGGATTTCTGTGGTTTCATGTGTTTAACTGTTCTATGAATCTAATCCACTTTCTTCTTATGAGATTTTACATAAAAATGATATCCATGATGATATCTTTCCCAATGTAGATAGCATTCAAATATTTTATTGTGCGAGTTCCTCTTTATGTAACAGGCTATTTATAATAATTCTTGCGGAAACAGACTAATGTACTCATATAAGCTGTAAACAATTTATAATTCATTTTTGTGATTTACTTTTGCCTGTGTGTGTAAATTCTCTTTTGTGATTTCTCTGATTTAGCCCATACGTTTGATAATGATTATGATGATTGTAATTTTACTATCCACACTAAAGTGTAATCCCATTCATCTTTTAAAATATCTGAGCAATTTAAGAATTTGAAGAGGTGAAATTCTTTTGATAATTTAATTTTAGTAAATGGATTTTAAGATTTCTTTAGGATAGTTTTTATAATGAAACTGTTAGTAAATATCAGCTTAAAAATCTTACTATTTTTTATTTTTGGATTTTCCTTTTCATTAAATACCCCATAACAGAATATTGGTGGAGAACATGATGAAATAAGGCCGAGTTTGAGTGATTTCTAGTGCATTGTGGTCTAGCAGCAAGCTTTAGGGTTTGTAGCATGATCTGGTGCTAGATTTTACATTGATTAAACTCGAGAAGCACATGAAATATTCTGATTCTCTAGTGATTAAAATAATGTATTTAATACATTTTTGCCATTACTAATTATTGTTACTAATCTTTTCATAAAATACCTCATAACAGAAATGTTGGTAGAGAACATGATGATATAAGGCCGAGTTTGAGTGATTTCTAGTGCATTGTGGTCTAGCCGCAAGCTTTGGGGTTTGTAGCATGATCTGGTGCTAGATTTTATATTGATTAAACTCGAGAAGCGCATGAAATATTCTGATTCTCTAGTGATTAAAATACTTTATTTAATGCATTTTTGCCATTACTAATTATTGTTACTAATCTTTCATCTTTCTGATCTCAACATAATCTAGTTCAGATGCATGAATTCATCATAGAAGTAGGGAGAGAGTGTCTGCCATTAAGGTCTTGGGCTTGCCAATCTGTCCTAGTTTTGATCGGAATCAGTTCGGGAACAAATTTAAGGATCTCCTAGCTATTTTCCCTATGATCAGGAAACTTATGGCTCTAGGAAACTTATGGCTTGATGGTATTTTAAATGCCTCCATTATGGGAAGATACTGTATAATTACAAACTTCGTGCCTTCTCTGAAATTTGAATCTGGCCCCAATAATTTAGCAGCTACAGCCCTAACTGCTATAATGTTTAGGACAGCTGCTACATATTTTTAATGTTGAAAGGTATTAAAAATAAAATAAACATGAGCAGAAATAAATAAATTTGATATAACATAGGTTTCTGTATGGAAATCAAATTAGAGACATCTACAGTCATAAAACATTTAATATTTCTTTTTGTTAAATAATTTATTAGAAATTGTATATATTGGGGAACATATGATGTAACGCCAAGTTTGAATGATTTCTAGTGCATTGTGGTCTGGCAGCAAGTTTTAAGGTCTGTAGCATGATCTGGTGCATTGGATTTTATTTTGATTGAACTTAAGAAGTGCATGAAGCATTCTGATTATCCAAGTGTTAAAAACAATACACTGAATGCACATTTTGACTATAAAGATAATATGATAACTTAATTTTGACATCTTCTGGAAAATCGGATTAAACTGTTTAACTGAAAGTTAACTGAAGCATAGATCAAGGTAAAGTGTTGCATTTAGTGTTTACAACCATGAAATATTTTAAGAGGATATTGAAAATTATTTGTACAGATCTATGATTCTAAAAGGTTAATTTGAGAAGCAAGTCTTAATTTGATAATGCTTTTTCCAGTTTCCCCGAAAGTATTAAGAAGCCTTTGCTGATATCTAACATATTTTTTAATGACAAATTTTTAATATAATATATAATTTAACTTTTGTCTAGCTTTTCACATATTTTTGTGGTAGAATATTTAAGATATATATTTTAATTCTGTTTAATGAATAGGCATATGTAGAAAGCTTTCTCTTTTGAAACTACCAACTGCTATCTAATTTTACTTATGTAAGTTTGAAAACTTCATAATTTTTGGTGAATAAATGATAAAATTTTAACCTTCAGCCAATTAAGCCATTTATGTATGTCTGCAAATATTTTTTCTAATGCTTATACATGCATGTGTATTTTAAAATATATGTGGGCAATTAAAACAGCATGTAAAAAAAAGGGGGGGAGAAAAAAGCGAAAAAATATATATGATAAGAGTATTTTCGAATAATCCAAAAAATATTCATTTTTCCCTGGTATTTTTTAGAACAATGGGATTTAGTAAAATCTTCAGGTGGTTAGAGGATTATTGTAGTCAAAATTATTGTAGTCAGACCATTCAGGTCAAAAAAACTAATAAAGTAAAAATAGATTATAATGTGATTTTGGTAATATTCATTTAGAACTTTTTTATGGACATTGCTAATCTGCATGGTTGTTTTAGAGCTAGACTTACATCTTAGTTGATTATTTTATGCATTTAATTGCATAAATTTATTTCTCAAATGATGATATCAGGCCGAGAATCTGAGAGCTTGTTTTTTGTGGGTTCGCTTAATAGCTGAGCCTGCTTAAAAAAAGCTTTGTGCCGAAATCCTTAAAGCGATTATTGCTGATGAGAAATTTTTGTATATGGAGTTGTTTATATTTTAAATAAATAACAGAAAGGAAGTCACTACAACATAATCATACTGATTTGTAATTTTTAGTGTAATTTGGCATTTTACTTTATTTGGGTTAAAATGAAGCTCTCTGGACGAGACCTATGGGTAAACTTAACAGTATGAAATTGTTTATTTTACCTACTTAAGTTTTGGTAAGGCATTTTTAAAAATTGTTTTTTCTCTTAATTTTTATGTTTATTTCCACCATGTTATTTATTAAATAGAACAGAGAAATAGAGACATTTGTTATACTTTGTTTACTCACTTACACCAATTTAATTCTACAACCACATGAAATATTCTGATATCTCTTACCAATGAAGATGCCATGCTATATTTTTCATTTCTAACCAGTTCTAGCTAATTCTAAATTAGCAAAATTTCAGGTTTTTCGAAAATAATAAGGAAATATTTTTTTGTGTTTATTTTTAAAATGAAAATTCAAACGATCTTGTAATTACTATCAATACTTAATTAAATAATGAAAAGCTGTTTATTTTTTGAGAGGCTAATGCATCAAGAGAGATTAAAAATTCTGTAATCTGTGTTGTATCATAAATTACATGTAATTTTGTAAGATTTTTTGGTTGTGGTTTCAGTGTGTAAATTTAAATTTTACAGTACTTTTCTTTTTAAAATTAGACCTTTTTTTTAAAAATTTACTCCAGTAATTCTGTAAAGGTAGTTAAGATATGTTGAATTAAAATGAATGTAAATATTTTGAATTAAATTGGATGTAACTTATGTCTAAGATAGATGTTGGTGTTATATCAGGTCAGTATTTTCAGTAGATGCACCATTGTCTTCAGTGTATAAATATTTTTTGAAATAATGAATATTTGTATATCCTTAATATATTAAAAGTACCTTGTATAATAAGCACTAGTCAGTTCTGAATATGTAGGACTAGAAAACAATGCAAATTTTTCTTGGGTTTAATCCTTGAATTTTCATGGTTTTTTTCTCAGTGTACTGTGAATCTAACTGAATTTCTTCTTGTGACATTTCATGTGATGTCATCTTTCCTGAGGCAGAAAACTTTCAAGTATTTTATTGTAATAAATTCCTACTTTTTATAATAAGCTATCTATTATAACACTTCTTACACACAAAAATAAAGTATACTCATATGAGCTGTAAATGATTTGTAATTCTATTTGAAGAGAGATTTTGATTTTTTGTTTAAACCACAGGTTTAATATTGTTGATGATGATGATGATAATAAGAAAATTTATTTTTAGCATCTATCCTTCAGTGTAGCTTAAAATGCTATTCACCACTTTAAAATATTTCAGCATTTTAAGGGTTTCTTTTGTTGGTTTAATTTTCATAAAAAGGTTAAGGACTTTAGGATCTTTTAAGTTTTATATTTTTATATGAACTGTTAGTAAATAGCAGGTCTAAGAAATGTAAGTTCCCTGGCCCCCTCCGTTTTATTAAGTAACTCGCAACAAAATTGTTTGTTAGAGAACGTGATGATGCAAGGCCGAGTTTGAGTGATTTCTTGTGCATCGTGGTCTAGCAGTGAACTTTAGGGTTTGTAGCTTGATCTGGTGCATTGGAATTTACACTGATTAAACTCGAGAAGCGGATGAAATATCCTGATTCTCTAATAAATTAAAACAATATATTTAATAATTTTTGTCATTATTAATTTATTGTTACTAATCCTTCTTATCTGAATATATTCTAGTTCAGGTCTACGAATTCATCGTGACTGATAGGAAGAGATTGCCTGTCATTGGCCAAGGCCTTGGGCATCTTATGAGGGACAGAACTGTTTTGTCCAACTGCATCCCAAGTTTTTTGTTGGATTAACATGGGGAGACTCAAGGATCTCCTACTTGTTTCTCCAGTTGCCCTGATGAGGTAGTGTTTAGTGTTGTAGGTTGTATCTTGAAGCCTGGATTGGAATCGTGGAGAAGGTATGGATGTTTGTAAGTCTGTAGAAACTCTTCGGCACGGGGACATTTAAAATATTGACAAGCTGAAAGCCCCCTCTAGTGGTTTGGTTGTAGGAGAAGAGGGATAGGAGATTCTCAGATCTGTTCCTTGGAATGTTCTGTTTCAAAATGGGAGCAAAACTGCACTGCTAGCGCAGGGAGACTGTACCTTTATAACCAGTGGTGAATTTCTCGTATATAGCCCATTTCCACTTGTAGATGTAGATAATTTTCCCTAGGATTAACCTCTCAAGGGGACTTCTGGCTTGATTATTTTAAATGCCTCCATGATGAAAAACAGTGAATGTTTACAAAGTTCCATGCCTTCTTTGAAATTTGGACCTGGGATCAATGATTTAAATGGCTGCACTGCTAATCGCAATATACTGATCAAGAAAGCTAATGCATTTTTAGTTCCTTGTACGAAGTAAAGGAAGTACTTTAATCACGAAAAATTGCGGTTACCATATTTCAAAGAAACTATCCACTGTCAAATGCAATTTAACGATGTTTTTGCATGACATCTGTATGTAAGGACAGAATAAAGGACTCTTCTTCCTCAAATGAACTATAAAACTGATTTAAAAGGGATTCAGAAGAGATTTTTTCCCCGTGGCATCTGTACATTTGTGTGTACATATGTATGCATTTTGCATGACTCAAAAACGAGTAGCCTCAGAATGTTGAAACTTTGTATATAGGACTGCAATAGCATATAGTAGTGCACCTCCCTTTTTGGTATCATAGGCCACACCAAAAGTGTATATATATATATATACACCCACTCTGTTACTCTACTCAATGAGCTCAGTTTTTTTTTTTTTATATATATATATATATATTATCTTATATGTTGGCAAATTGTGCATTTTTGCTTTAAAAATGATTGAATTATGTTGTTATTAACAAACTCAATGATTTCAAAATGAGCAATGGCAACACTGTACAGGGGGGTGACATTTTTATCTCCAGCATGTGAGACTGTGTATAGGAAATTCTAAAGATATGCTCGTTTTAAAATTATTTTGTAATATTGCTGTTGAACTGAATTTTATGGTTTAAGTGCGAAGAACATGATATTTAATAAATAAAGGTAACCCACAAAACATTGGATGGCAGAAATGGTAGCTAAAGTGTTGAAAGCATTAATAAACAAGATAAATAAATGTACATGAAATAAAGAATATAAATTTCTTTCTACTTAAATTTCTTTCTCCTTGCTCTCATTCAGTTATCAGGATTTTGAAAATTTAAACCTAATTACAGACATATAAATTCATAAATGAATCTTTCAAGAATTTCTTTTTGTTGAATAATTTATTAGAAACTGTATATGTTGAAGATAATAATTGATGTTAGGCCGAGTTTGAGTGATTTATGGCACATGGTGGTCTGGCAGCAAGCTTTTGGATTTGTAGTCTTATGTAGTTAGTAAACTGGATTAGATTGCATGAAACATTCTGATTGTCTAAATATTGAAAAACAGTATAACTAATTCTCTTTTGGACTTTATAAATCCATTATTATTAAGAACATAGTTTTGAGATAATATGAGTTATGACCATATAAGCCAGATTAAAGACAGAATTAGCTAACAATGTTGAATGTTTAAATAATTTAAAATGTGAGTAATGAATGAACTATGAATGAACTAATACTATGGAGGGCAAATGAACTGTGCATAATTTTCTCCCATTTTAAATATTCGTCAATAATTTAATTTTAGATTCTTAGAGATGGAGATTTCTCATATTTAATATATATTTTAGGATTATATTGCCCGTTTTGGACATGGAAGTGCTAAGTTAGCTAGACAAGCACAAAGTAAAGAAAAAACGATGGCAAAAATGGTAGCTGGTGGCTTAACAGAAAAAGTTGTAACTGAAAAGGTAATATAAATTGTTGCTAAGGTTACTCATTTGTAATTAAGTATTTTGTTTTCAGTAGTTTTGCAATCTTTAAAATTAAAAAGGATATCTTACAGAGCTTATTCAGTTATATGTATATTTTAAGCTAAGTGCAGTTAATTTGAAATTTATTTTCCATCTGTTTGGGGAATCTTGGACAACCACAAGAGCAAGCGTTGAGGATCACAAATTGAGAAATACTAAATTAAATTGATTTTCAAATTTGATTTTCAAAGTTCTGAGGGTTTTGATTGTTACATCAGTAAGTCTAAACAGAAAATGGATGTAATTTATTATACCTTTTGAATTTCATGTGGCAAAATTAATGCCACTATCCAGCAGTGATTATTAAAATGTTTTCAGTTAAATTCTTCAGTGAAATTGATGCTCATCATCTATGACTTGTGATTTGTATTTCACTTCAAATTCATATTTATTGATTTTTCGAAGTATATTTGTCATAATGAGTAGTTTATTTTAATGATGGATTTTCTCCTTAAAAAAGATATCATTATGCAATATAACCATTATTGTTTGTTTTACGTCTTTAGAACTATCCCTGTTAAAACCTTTAAATGTCAATAATTTAGTTTGTAATGGCTATTTCATCAGTGATTTTTGAAAATATAATATTTTGTTGAAGCCAGCAACTGTTGGCAGTCAGTCTGCACAATGATTCTTAATGAGAAATTCATTTTTTGCCACAGAGACGTTTTTAAAACAATATTGCTTCAGTGACAGAATTTTTCTAATGAACAGATGGCTATGTCCAATTTCCTGTTCTGAAATTATTATACATATAGGTTTTTTTTCTTGAACAATTTTTCCAGCTATTTGCAGTTTTTGTTGATAAGCCCTTTTAATCAGCACAAAGTTGTTGCTTATTACTGTCCAGTTCCGAATAATATATCTTCTTTTAATTTTTCTAAGACTTTTGAATCAACTCTCTTTTGTTATTTTCTTTTTCTGTATTTTATTGCCTCTTGCTTTCCCTGCGAACCTTTTGGGGGGGGGTGACAGATTGTTTAGTCTACAAATTTAAAAGATCATAAGCGTGCAAGATAAATTATATTTCATTGTGACTTTTCATCATTTGGCAATTGCTTTATTAAGTAATCAGTACTGATTGCTTTTTTTAATATCAAATTAGCACTTAAAAATTTTTAAAAAGAAAGCAACTGAAAATGTTGAAGGGAAAATTATAGGATCTATGTTTATTCCTCCCTTTATTCCTAAGGATGTCACTGAATATCTGTTTGAGGGGCTATAAGCAAGTTACTGCATTTGGTACTTTGATGGATACATTTATGATTGGTGACCTGTTAACAGAAAAGTATCCAAAGTTGTAACTTTCCTAGTAAGTTTTGAAATTGTCTATACTCCTTTGTGACTGTAGTCTTAATTATCTATTATTCATGGCTATTTCTTGAGTTTGCCAAATGCAAAATAAAATTATATATATATATATACATATGTATATAATATATAACTTTGTTAAGAATAAAATTTAAAATTTTCTGACACTATAAATGTAGAATTTAAGCTCCAATAAAATATTATAAAGGTTATGTGTCTCATGTGTTTGGTTTGTAATGTCTATGTGGTAACATTTTAAATGTTTCTGGTGCAAAAATGCCTCCCTCCTCTTTTTTGTTTTCTTAATGCCTTGATAATTGTTTTCTTTTTTAAAGGTTGTTCAGTTCTACTTTCCAGACTGTGGTACAATTCCTCCTCCAGTTATTATGGTGCAGAATGTCTCATTTAGGTATAAGGATGATGGGGTATGTGTTTTTTTAAAAATACTGCTAATGATTTTGTAACAGTGACTTTAGAATTTATTATATAAAAATTATTTTTAGCATTTATAGAAATTCATTCATTTCAGCCGTGGATTTACAAAAATCTTGAATTTGGTATTGATTTGGACTCGAGGATTGCTCTTGTTGGTCCTAACGGAGCTGGAAAATCAACTTTATTGAAACTTTTATGTGCTGAAGTGAGTTTTATATTAATACTGGATTATGCTTTTTAAATTATTAATAATAACTATAAAGTAAGAATTTTAGGTATTTTTTTGATAAATGTACCAAGGAAATTACAATTATGGGAAAAGAAAATTACAAATAATTTCTTTTAAGGAATTAAAAATAAGATGTCTTAATATTGATAATAATAATATATTTTTAATATTAAATATTATAATTTAAATTAAGATGAATTTTGAAGAATGTTTAAAGTATATAAAATTACCTTTCAGCTGTCGGAAAACTATTTCTAATTTCTATGAGGAGTTTGATATCAATACTTATACTGTAGCTGTTGTGTAGTAAGCTAATTTTATTTCAAAAATTTAATGTTGTGTGAAATATTTACAGTACAAAGTCTGAGATCCAGAGTTGTTAGGACTTTGATAGTTCCAGATTTGTCCCCCCCCCAGATATTAGATCATCGGTTTAGTAAGATGACATAAAGAAATTATAAAATTAGAAATGTGAAATAGCAGTTCAGGGAATAATGAAACATTTATAACAGTAGAGAAATAGAAATTTACTAATGCACACACACACACACAAAGGGAACACCTCAGTATTTATTTGTTTACTTTATTAAATGTTCTTTCAATGTAAGTTGTTTAATACGTTTTTTTTTTAGCTGATGCTTAAAATTAAAAATTTCTATTGTTTAAATCCTGTAATTGCAATGTCAAGAATTCTCATTAAATTGTTAGTCAAAATTTGTTCATTGTCAACAATCTCTTTATCACTTTCTTCACTATCAGTAGTGATATTTTGTGGATTTAGCTGCTATACTGCAAATTTTGCCAACTGTTAGTTGATTGAGAGAGGGAATGAGAAACTTCTTTTATGTAATCTTCATTTATCACTTCTCCATATTTTTTCACAAATTCCATTAATTCGAAAATTTTGCTTTTTGTTTGCAATATTAAAAAAGCTTCAAAAAATTTCTTGGCTATCATCATGAAGCCATAAAGCTTAGCTCTAAAGCTTGGTGATCATGAGATTGGTGACTAATGGTACGTTGTTCCGCTAAATTTTGTCTCACTTTGATGCAGTTAAACCTGAATTATATTAGTTTAGTTATTTATACTTATGTCTATTTCCCATATATGTGTAAGTCATATCCGAGTCGTGAATAAATAAATTTGCACATATACGTTAACTCCAGGGTCATCACTAGTCATTCTGCCCTCTAGTGCAATATATGTGGCTTGTAAATTATACCACCCTTTACCTGCTTTTGTGGCCTGGTGCAGTCTATGTGGGTCTGAAATTCTGCTCTCAAGAGCCTCTCTAAATTCTTAAAATTTTGGTTCCCTTTGCCTTTCTTAAATTCTAAAAATTTTGTCTTTCCTACTGCAGCTGAGTATGCTTGAACAAGCTCTGGCACCACTCCTGGTCTTATCTGTATAACAAATCAATTATTATCAATTCAAGCATAAATAAATTTAATCTTTGGGTGTATGAGTGTCATTTAAAAATAATTTTTTCTATATGGAAAGAAATTTCTGCTAAATTTCTCCTCACAACACACTGAAAACTTTGTAGCACAGTTAGTTGAAGTCTGTAATCATCACCAAGTATAATGTCGAAAGGTTGCCATGCTTTTTAGTTACTGATATATATGTAAACCAAACAAACTGAGTGGCGCAATAACCGTAGTTGGCCATGGCCTGCAATGCCCTGAAATTTGCTTTCTTGACCTTGGGTCCCGGAGTGCATCAGCATATGGCCTGGGCAAATGGTCAGCTTGTCACAGCACCCCACAGTGTTTAGTCCCCAAGCAAACTTGGTACTCATTTTATCTACCTTCTCAAGGGATGAAAGGCTGAGTCAACCTTGCCCAGCCCGGGGATCAAACCCCGGACCTGCCGTGCAGTTGCGTGACACGCTAGCCATTTCGCCACCAGGGGGTGATCGCACCATATATATATATATATATATAAAGAGTTGTGTTTAGACATCGCTACATGAGTCATTTCTCAAGCTGCAGTGTGTTGATGGTCAATAGATGGTGAAAGCCAAAAATATGAAATAATGATTCACCAGGTTTTTTTTTCTTCACTAAAGTGAAACTAAGGATCAGGACTCTCCACATGGTTTACTGTGGAAAAATATCAAATGTGCAGGTTAAGCCATTAAAAAGGGGGAAAGAGGTTGCTATTGATCTGGAGGTCTCGATTTTATTTAGATCATTTTGGGTATTGGATGTTCAAATCTCAGACTTTGTACTGTATAATCATTTTGAAAAACACAACAGTGTATGATTTCATATATATACTAATCATATAAAAACATTTTCGAGATGTAAAGAGATGATTTTGGTGCTGTGTTTCTTCTGATGTACGCAGTAAGTCTTTTTCTGTATTTAAAAAAAAAAAAAAAAAAAAAAAAAAAAAAAAAAACTGAGAATTGCACAAACATGGCATCGCACCACTTCAGCATTATACACCGGCTAAAATAAATATGTGCTATGCCCATACCTGGGTTGTAGTATAAATACTTTTTGGCAACATTGCGAGTTGTCGGCAATGTAGTGCTTTGTTTCATGAGTACTTTTTTGTGAAGTTGCAGACAGTCAGTTCCAAAGATTCTACTGTCGTAAATTATCTGGGGGAAAAAAGTCCATTTGAAATTCTCTTGACTGAAATATTAACTGAAATATTATTAATGAGTTGCATAATTTTTTAATAATTTTATCTGTATGCAAGTAAAATTTTTTCTTTTAAAATTGCAGGTTGTTCCTTCCGATGGGTTAATTAGGACACATTCCCATTTACGAATTGCCAGGTATCACCAGGTTAGTTGTTTCATTTGCATTTAATATTTAAAATGTGATGTTATTGTAATCATAATATATTTGGATTTATTAATCGTTTTGAATTTGAGACTTTTTTGAAAAAATATGAAAAGCTTAGCATAATATACATATTTTAATTCTTCAAGTCCACAATGGGTGAAAAAGTTTGGAAAGTTTTGTATGATACATGCTTTTATTCCTGAAGAGCAGTACGAGAGGTGAAATAAGGGTTGTTTTTAAATCTCTCAGATTAATTGTCGCAGATATGCCGATATATTTCATATTCCTCTATCTACACTTATTTGGATGTAATTTTTCTTTTGAAACATCTTTGCTGATCTTCATGTATTAACTTCATCAGCATTGCTACTGTTTTCATCTTTATCTCATTCACTGTCTCAACAATGCAGATTTTACATTAGGAAAAGTATAAAAGTCTTAGGACACTAAATCCAATGAGTAAAGCATTGATCTTCTTATTTGTCAGACATTCTTTTCCATGTTGGAATAGCATGACCTCAACCATTGTTTTGATGGTTAATTCATATGTTTTTCCACGGTGTAAGCCTCTTTTCTCTGGTTATTCTACAAGCCGACCAGAACTTCGAGTATTAATGTTAGTTAACTGTCTACTCTGGAATAATTATCACAGCAACTATAATATCAGAGATAATGATCAGCATCGCCAACATCAATTTTAATTTGCTCATTTTTGCATTTTTCATTCTTTGAGACACAAATTTTCCAATGTATCAACTTTCTCTTAATCTCTATATATAAAGAAGAAAGTCGGTGTGTTTGTTCACTATTATCTTAGTCACTACTATAGCTATTGTCACCAAACTTTCTACAATTCTTTTCTGAGTCCTGGAAAAGGTCGACGTCCCACTTAAAAAGAAAAAAGTAGCTAAAATCAGAGATATTAATTAAAAAGCCAGAAAAACGATAGTTCCCAAGTGGCAAGTCCTCACAAGCTGGAGATGAAAATCTGCTTTATTTCGAAAGTTGTTGCCACTGCTCGCTTTCAAATCCTAGGGTGTTTTAATAACAAAGTTCTAAGCTTTACGATGAAATAAAAATAGCATTGCCAAACATTAAATGCATTATTCCCGATTCTAAAAATTCGTGGGAAGCCATTTCGACTATTCCTTTTTTTGTACGACTTAATTGGCCGAAATAGTAATTAAAAAACTCTGAAAGCACTAATTTTCATATTCATTTTTCCGAGTGGCAACAGTTTCACGCGTTGGAGATAAAAATGTTTTATTTTGAAAAGTGTTATTACTGCTCACTTTCAAATCATAGAGTTTGTTAAGTATAAATTTGTAAGTTTTACAAAATCTATTCATATAAAGAATGTTTGTGTGTTTGTTCGTGTTAATTCTGATCAACTTTTTTGCTGCATTTATTTGACTAAAATTGAAGATAGGCAAAATATTATATGGACTTGAGCTTTTACCATTTGATTAAAAAAACGAAAATCATTAAAAACTGTGCCATTGTTGCTGATATAATGAGAGAGAATTAGCTTATTTTTCTATCGAAATTTTTTATGTTTGTTCTGTACGTCATCAGACTAAAATATGTATGCCTATGAATTGTAGTTTTTGCATCATTATTAGAGAAAGATTACAGCGGTATAATTCTCTTTGTTGTAACATTCATTACTGTAAATCTAACTTAACTGGCATTGGGTTCTTCCGCTTGTATCATATAGTTATCAGCTCTTCTTCATCACATCTCCCAGGATCCTGGTAGATCACAGGATCTCCTGGTTTTTGATTTTAATCTTTACTGAAGAAAATGTTTACCAGTAATCAATGAAATTTATTAAGTTAATGAAACCTAAATTGTGCAACTTCCATTTTCCCACCCCCTATTGATTTTCAGCATAATTTATCTTATTAATTTTTTTTTAAATCTAATTGTCTTACTGTACACATCTGTATTTTTTCTTGTTCAGTTCATCATACAAAAATTATTATATATCAGTGTTTATCATTGCATGCCATATCCCACATTCAGATTTTTAATCGATGATTATTGGAAACAGTTTCATTAATTTCTATAATGTCTGTTGGATTGTTTAGAAAGTAATTTTGGTTTCTCACATTTCAGTTTATTTTAGGTAATTGCTTTCGGGAACCGAAAGTACCGTATTTGACGGCATATAAGACGCACCCTTATTTAGATGGCCACACACAAGGAAAAAAAGTTTCAATAGCGTGGTTTCTTTTAGTTCTCATGTTTTGTAAAAGCCAAATAAACAATTATTGAATGAATTACCTTCACATATAAGACTCAGGTAACTTTTTTGAGACCAAATTTAGGAAAAAAAGTGCATCTTATATGCTGTCAAATACGGTAATTTAGATTTTTAATTTTACAAGGGAAGTGATTGTTTTTACAGGGATTGTTTTCACATATATTCTTTTTTGAAGAACAACTGCCATTATTATAATTTTATTGAATTCAGCATTTGATAGATGTCACTCTTAGCTTATTCTAGAAGTAAATTGCATGCCAGTTTATTTACAGCAGTTATTTTAGTGTCAGTTTTAACATGGAATGCAAAAATGAACAGTGTTGCCATATTTTGCTTTTATTTTCATATAAGTGTAAAAGCTGCTGAGGCTGATAAAGATGTAAAGTATATGATGTTGATTATATAACAGAACATGTTTGTTAGAATTGGTTTTGCAAAAGTTACCAATGCATAACTGCATGAGAGATTTCTGAAAATGTTTTGTATTAATCAAAGCAGTTTACAAGCATATTAAAACCCTTAGGTTAATAAAACATACTTGACAGATGGGTTCCACATTAACTAAAAGAGATTCATTTAGCTCATTGTATCAACATCTATGGTTCAACTTAAACAGCAATGATCCATTTTTGATATGAATAAAAATTTCTGATGAAAAGAGAATTATAAAATGCCATTCAAAAGCTATCTTGGTAAAAATGGGATGAACCTGCCCCTTTCACATCCAAAGCTGATATCCACCAAAAAACTATTGTGCTATCAGTTTGAAGGGAATTATGAAAGTATGTCTTTTTTTTTTTTTTAGCTGCTTCTAAGGAGTTAAATGATAATTCAGATATCTACAGTGAACAACTTATGAACATGGGTGAAGTATTTAAAGAAAAACAGCCAGAATTGGCAAATCAGTAGTGTTCCACCAAGATAGCGCTAGACTATGCACATCTTTAGTCACCCGACAAAATTACTGGAGTTTGGTTTGGAAATGATGTTACACATCCACTTGCATCCCTGACCTTGCACCCTCAGATTACTATTTATTTTGATGTTTGTAAAATTTTTAAATGGTTAAAATTTTCACCAATGAAGATGCTGTCAAATCACGCTTGAGTTAGTTTTTTACTGATAAAGATCAGTTCTATGAATTTAAATATAAAGTTACCGGAAAGGTCACTAAATAAAATTGAATATGTTATTGAGGTTCATTCTTTGTATAAAAAAAATCTGAGTTTTATTTTGTACTAAAACCCAAAATTTCTTAATAAATAATGCAGTAAGTTTCTGCGTAATTGGATGATTTAATACTTCATCAGTCTGAAAATTCTTTCCACCTTTGAGAAGAAGATATGTAATCTGTATGTACCTGTGTGGTTTTGCATACTAACATTGCCAGCCAGATATTGCTCAGCAAAATGTTTATAATTTAAACATTCAGGCAGAGTCGTAGCTAGAGTTTTCAGCGCCCAGGGACAACTGAAGATTTCGTGCCCCCTACTGCTTGCCAAGGATGGAAAACATTTAATTCTAAAATATCGTAACATCAGTTTGGCGCCCCTTAGATTCTGCGCCCAGGGACAGATGCCCCCCCTTGCCCTCCTCTAGCTACGCCTCTGCATTCAGGACCTTGAAAAAAAGTGGTTTATTCATTCATGTAAACTTTTACTATCCCTGTGCATCTTCTGTTACAGTTTCAAGTATTTACTGAGCAATTTCTTCAATTTCACTAGGATTGGATTGGATTATTTAATTATTGCAAAGCACACGAGGGCTATCTGTCTAAAGGAAGGGATGCCTTCGTGGAGGACTTTCTAAGGGAAACTGGCTCATATACACGTTACACATGGGGAAAACCACGAAAACGCCCACGCAGCCAGCTCGTTCGCGGGATTCGAACCTCGGACCGAACTACCAGTGTTCAACGTCTTTACCGCTCGCCCGCTGGTGGGCCCACTACGAGTTATTAATATACTGTATAATTTTGCTATTTGATATAATTCTGACAAAATTAATCCCTCAAGTTTTTTTACAGACTGATTGCAAGTGAATAGCTGCATCTGGCTAGAAATACTTATTTCTTAACATTGATAATTTTTTTGGACTATATATTTGAAATATGAAAATGTTATTAAATGTGCTCAGTTCAAATTGGGTACAACATAAAATGCAAATAACAAATGTGTTGATTGTAAAGTGTAGGATTTTGAAGGATTTGTGAATAGTAAGATTACTTTGAATAATGTTATGTGATCCATTTTTACTTCCTTGTATGAAGTAAAAAGGAAGTATTGTAATCGTGAAAAGTTTCAGGCAGCACATTTCAACGAAAATATCCATTTTGACCACTATCGAATGCAATTTAACGATGTTTTTGCATGATATTTGTACGTAAGAACAGAATAAAAGACTCATTTCCTCAAAAAAAAAAAAAAAAAAAAAAAAAAAAAATTATAAAACTGCTTTAAAATTAATTTTGAAGAGAATTTTTCGTGGCGTTTGTACGAATGTATGTACGTATCTCGCATAACTCAAAAACGAGTAACCTCAGAACGTTTAAATTTTGTATATAGGACTGCTATAACATGTAGATGTACACCTCGTATTTTGGTTGCAATCGACAGTACCAAACGCATATATATATCCACTCTGTTACCCGGCTCAGTGATCTCAGTTTCTTTACTCATGTGTTTGCAAATTGTACATTTTTTGCTTTAAAAATGATTGAATTATTGTTGTTTTTATCTTCCGGTTAAGGTTTTTATGCCTTTAGTAAATCTGTATGCAATATTTTTAAGTGTTGCTAAGCCTTTTTTTGATGGCGGCCATTGATTATTTACATTTGAAACAGCAGACTAGTGAATTTGTTGCCAATCTAGAGAAACTTAGCTTCGCAACAACAAAGATAATGCCTTCATTTATTATTGCCAATTAAATCAGGCTTAATCCCTTTCTGGAATTTTATCAAGGAAATAAGGTTTGAGATTTACTTCGTAATTTTTGATATAGATATTTTGTGTTTTTATGTATTTTTGCCTTCTCGCAAAGTGAGAACTGAATTAATTGAATAAGAAATACTCAATCGTCTGTGAAAAACTGTTTCTTTTTTGTTTTGTTTGCTTAATTTCTTTTATACATCATTCTAGCTTTATTATAGTATTTGAATAGAACATGTGGCAACGATTAGATAATTCTATTCTTTAAATGATATAAATTTTGTGCATTATGAGTTATAATATGAATGAAATATAATACTGTTAAGTGAATCTAGTGCCAGAGTGTCGCTATGATAAACAAATACTAGAGTGAATTTTAAAGAATGCATTTATTCTATTGTGGTTTATGTGCCGTCGGCGAAGTAGATTTAATTCAATCTAATAAATTTAAATGAAATGCAAGAAAAATGCGTTTAATTTAATATTCCGTACAAGGAAGTCATGTGGTGTACACATCAGATTTTTTTGAATTTATCTTTGTAGTTGATTATTTTTGGATTTTTACAGCACCTGCGATATTTTGGCATTCAAGAATTCGTAGTAGCCAGTACTTGCTCTAACAGTGGCAACAAACTGTTGTTTTTTTAACATCAGCAGATTACATTGAATGTGTTTTTTTATTTATGATTGGAATTATTTGACAATTTTATTCAAAATTACATCAATCAATGTTATTATCCAGTGCCTTGACTTCCATATGAAATCTTCTGAAAAAGAAGCCTAACAACTTTGAACAATAGTTTTTTAAAAATTGGAAAGGGACCATCCTTGTCCTCCTTTATTATTCCCACAAAGACGAGGACATTTTTTTTGGCAGAATCCAGAACAGCTTTTAGGCCTGCTGCTATGTTTACAGGAAAATGGTGTTGGTTAGGTTATTTAAATATGGCAAAAGGGGAAGACCTTCATGGAAGTCTTTTTAAGAGATACTGTTTTGTAATCACTTCAAACGTGGTGAACAGTATGAAAACCAATCATATAACTTACAAGTTTATTTATCTGGTATCAGACTTCTGGCATTCAGTGGTCTTAAACACTTGGCCAATGGTGGGGTTGGAAAATAGTCATAGGTGGTATTATTGGCAGTGTAATTGCAGGTATAGTTTAATACATGTACTTTCTTAATTTTTCATTTTATAATTAATCTTTAATACTAGCAAGTACTAACTCTTCCCCCCCTTCTGTCTTGCAGCATTTAACAGATTTACTCAATCTTGATATATCAGCATTAGAATATATGATGAATAGCTTTCCAGAAATTAAGGAAAAAGAAGAAATGAGAAAAATAATAGGACGGTTTGGCTTAACAGGTCGTCAACAGGTAAGTTTTACTTATAAGCGTTTGATTTCAGTATGAATATTAGAATAAATTACTAAATTATTTAAAATGATTTTATACTTTTTTGTTAGATTTGTTTATCGTTTAACAGTCTCTAAGCTAATAGAAGTGTACGTTAAAAATGCATTTATTTGACAGTATTGTATTTATCATATAAATCTCTTTAGTTACATTTTATCTTAAGTTTTAAATCTGTTATTTATGTATTATGCATCAGCACATAGATCAGAATAAAGTTTTCATGTACATGAAACTTGAGATTTCATTCCAGAGAGTCTAACATTTTTATCTTTCTAGAATGTCGGTAGCTAAAGTAAAATGGCAGTAAAGGATATTTCATAAAACATGGCCTTAAATGAATTTCTTAAATTCCCAGATAAAAAAAATCTTGAATATCAGAAGCAGCAGATGCTATATAAAATTACCAAAGTCATTGTGTTAAAAATTTTTTAGCGTGCCAGTATAAGATTATCTTGAAGTTATCACAAAATGCCTTATAGCTAGCATTAGAGCTGGTATAATCAGTGGGGCAAAATGTTTAGGGTCAGCAAAATATACAGAGTGTAGGAATCGGAGATTGCACCAGATAGTGTCATTTCTACCCACAGTAATGCAGATGAACTAAGTAGGTTCTACGACACTGCAAAGAGGACAACTGTAAACCTAAAGTTTGTTGCTATATTTGAAATCAGCTGCTTTGACAAAACAGTTTCTTTGCATAAATCAAGCACACACCTTACCTTTGTTTATGATTAAATTAACACCAAAATATGCTGCAAAGTAATAATTAATGTTTATATTAACTGGAAGCTGAGCTTAAAATTGTGTGAGAAGCTGATTATTTAAAATATTAATTTTTTAATACTGTTGCTTCTATTAAAAAATTGTTAAATGTGAACTTTAATATAAACATTATTACAGAAAAATCAAGAGTAAAACTTAAGATTTCTGGTTTTTAATAGTATATTAGTCTAGTATATTAAACTATATAGGTTTTTTATAGTATATTAAACTATATATGTTTGTAATAGTATGTGTAAGGGTTACTATTGAAAATGGATTATATTTTGAGAAATACAACAGATCTGTGTAACATGATAGTATCTATTATTTAATAATTATATGTAATTTATTACACTTTCAGAGCCTTGTTCCACATGCATGATAAATGCTTTTGAGTTTCAAACATCATTCTTTTTTCATATCATTGAGAGAACAACCTTTTCAGTTTTATTTCAAGCACTGAATAGTAAGAAAAGTACAAAATAAAATAATTTATTTAAATGTAGTTGAGGTTTTACTTATTTCTTCAAAAAATACAGTATCTCAAAAAATAACTTGAAATTCAGTTGGAACTAGTTATTCTACTCTTGGGAATTAGGCAGTGATAGGTAAAAAGAACATCCATCAAAACTGTCTATTTACAAAAGAAAAAATAAAATAAATAAATAAAAATTAACATGTATTTCAGGTAGCTTTTGTGAAATTACAACTTCAAAGTAAGCTTATTTCTTTCAGATATGCCCTATTAGACAGTTATCAGATGGTCAGCGATGCCGTGTTGTTTTTGCATGGCTAGCGTGGCAGGCTCCTCACTTACTTCTTCTTGACGAACCTACAAATCACTTGGATATGGAAACTATAGATGCCTTAGCTGAAGCTCTGAATGATTTCCAAGGAGGCATGGTACTGGTTAGCCACGATTTTAGACTTATAAGTCAGGTAAGTACAATATAAAAAGTGTATATATAACCTTTTAGTTTCCCCCTTGTTTTTATTTTTCGATACACATATTTGAACTTTTCAAAGCTGAGTTCTCCAGTTTTAGGCAAATTCTGTGGGCTGCACTTTTTTTTTGAGCTAAGCTGAATAATTTTTTTATATAAAATATATTTATCCATAAAAAAAAGAAAACTTAAGATTAAAAAACTATTTGTTTAACATTTATATAATTATTGAGCTTAAAAATATGTACTAAACATGTATTCTGGAAAGAATGGAATATTTTTAATAATCTAGAATATGTATTTTAAACTAAAATTGACTCATTTGATTGTTTGTATTTACTTAGTAACTCTGCCATATCCCCTTCCAAAAATTTCTTTTGATACCATTTTGAAATCTTTAGAATTTTTCATTGATAAATTTGACTCTGTCTGATTTTATTCTCGTAATCTTCTTGAATCTGAAGCTAAGTCTAAATACCATAAACTAGAATCCCATGTTCATTACGTACATTTACACTCTAGCAACATACACCTGGATTTGTGCAGCAAGTATTATTAATGTCAATCACAGTGGTTTCCATAAATTTAAAAAAAAAAAAAAAAAAAAAAAAAAAAAAAAAAAAAAAAGTCACTAAGATGGTTATAACTTAAGAAGTTACTTGTTGATTTAATGACACTGAGCCACATTATAGCTAATAAGATGCAAAATAACATCACTAACCAGACAATTATGGTAATTTAGAAATTGAAGTGTGTGAAATTAACACATTGAGTGTGCCAGTTTGGAAGGGAAAAGTACCATTGATATGGAATGTTATCACCCCGAGTAGTGATGTAGTGCATACTATAATGTGTGGTGCTGTTAGTTATGTGGTTAATGAGGTTGATAGGAAATGAAAGCTATTGTTCTTGCAAAACAGCTGTAAATGTTGCAAGGATTTGAGGCGGATGATTGAGAGCAGCAGTACATATTTCTAAAATGTTCCAGATATGCTCAATGTGTTTTAGTTCTGATGATAGAGCTGGCTGAATGGTGTGCTACTGAAAATAATTTTGCATAATATAATGCCTGTGTGGTCTTGCATTGTCATCATTAAGATGAAATTACTATCTATTGCAGCAGTAATCATTAGAATGCCATCTGTACAGATCTCGAGCAGTTACAATAATACTGTATGGGAAGATTTGGAGATCTGGGCATCTGTTCAGTGAGGTACCACCTCAAACGCTGCTTCCTTTGCATGAATCTCTTTCATGGATGGATCAAACAATGACTACTGTCAGCCTGGAGGCTGAATCTATCTGTAAAGAAAAAGGCCTTTTGAAAAACAGTCAGTGATTAATGTTAACATGTTCGTCTCGGACAGATTCGCCTGTGATGTGAGGTGATTGGCACACAGGCGGCTGGTCCTCTTGTGTGTATATATATATATGGGCCCACCAGCGGCCAAGCGGTAAAGTTGCTGAACACTGGTAGTTCGGTCCGAGGTTCGAATCCCGCGAACGGGCTGGCTGCATGGGCGTTTTTGTGGTTTTCCCCATGTGTAACGTGTATATGAGCCAGTTTCCCTTAGAAAGTCCTCCACGAAGGCATCCCTCCCCTTAGGCAGATAGCCCTCGTGTGCTTTGCCATAATTAAATACACCAACACCAACACCTCTTGTGTATATCACTTTTCTGTGTGCTGTAGACATTGATGCCATCTTTCTGGTAGCCTAAGTTGGGTTAAAGCTATGATTCTATTCCTTCATGCATGTAATCACAAATTTTGGTCATTGGCACTTGACAAAGTGCTGTCCGAACATTTTAGATGCTGAATTTGCAGCTATAAATTCTATGAACTGTGGAACGGTCATCAACAAGCTCAGCTTTCATTCCAGTTATGCACTGCATTGGGTGCAAATGAACATAGCTTGCATTACAAACTTAAGACTGACAGATATTGCATGTATTTGGAAAGAGAGACTTGTTTAATCTCGCAACTGCTGAAGGGTTAACCTCCTTATCACTTTTGATCTGCCTTTAATCTCCCTAATTGGCCTCCACTGCAGTTCTTTCAGCAACCGATGCCTGGTAGTCATTCTGACGAATTGGCTATCTCAGATTTCTAACTCTACTATCACAGGAAAACTTTGAAATGTACACTACACCTCACAAATGACACATTCTGATTGCAGTGCCACTATTTTACGAGTATTGTTTACGAGTACTGCTGTATTGTTCAGCACCTTTGATTTAACAACATGCCAAAATTTCATATCAGTAAATTTATTTCTTGAATGAGTTTTTGCCTTTTTTTAATATTTTTTGATATTTTATTGAAACCATATAAACATGATTCATAGACATACTGAATAGTTGTTTCTGAAAATATATATGGGCTTGTACTTGCGAGTTCATTGCACATAAACTGTTGATTTTTAAGTTTTTGACCAATTTTGATTAATTTAATTTAATTTGACATTATTTTTAATATTATGCAATTACTTCAAACCAAACTGATAAACTACACATTACCTTTGATAATATAGAAATTTTTAAATGAATTTTCTTTATCACTGTTTATTACTTGGATATTACTTAAGACTTGGTTCATCTTTTGTGTAATAATGCTGAAAGAAAAATAATTTATCATATTGAAGAAATATAAGGAAGTCTCTTGTATAAGAATTTTTGCCATATGTTATATTTGCAATCGTTGTTTTTAAGAAAATTTTGCCAGTGCTAATGCAAAAAAAAAAGTATTGCATTATCATTAGAGAATGTTATATTTTGTATTATTTGCCATTGCTTTTTCTGAGAAAACAGGTATTATGGATATTGAAATTATATTATCTAATTCCAAGGTATTAAATATTGATAATTATTGCATCTGTTATATCGAGGATATGGAACTGGTTTCTCATAAATGCATTTTCCTGTTGTAGGTGGCAAAAGAAATCTGGGTATGTGAAAATCAGACTGTAACTAAATGGACTGGCACTATACAAAGTTACAAAGAACATTTACGTAAAAGAATTATGAAGGATTTAGAAAAGCCACTATAGATAAATACCAAAGAATAAGCATGTTTATATTTCAACCTCCGTCAGCTGCAGTTCTCATACTTAACACACCTTTTATTTAGATGTGCACAAATATTATTTTTAAAATATTAAATATTGTGTTTGACAACTGGTCTGCATTTAAAAACCGATTTCTTATGTTATTTAAATTAAATGGCTAAACATGAATGGAAATTAATTTGAATATGATTTTGTTTGCTGTTCATATAAATTAAACAACTATTTTCAATGCCTTATTTCATTATAGTTACCTAGAATTATTAAATAGTTTTAGCCTTAAGTGCTTTAATATTAAATTGCCATGATGTTTTTTAAAATATTTTGTATATTTTATTAAATAATGTCCTGTCTAATAACTGTAACTTATATTTTTAGGGAGCATTATAAATAGTTAAATAAAAATTAATTTGAAATTAGCTGTAATTTATTTTTTGTTAATTGATAAAAAGTAAAATCTAATTTGATTAAAGTCGTTTGTGGGGAGTTTGTAAAAATTTGTGAAAAAATGTGTATTAAGTTGTAGGTGAAAAATGACATATTTTTAAAATGCTCAGATTTACATAAACAATAATCATGTATGAGTGAAAGTTCTTCCTGAATTTGTAGTACATAAGCTGTGACTTGTTTTTATGATAGCTTTTGTTCTATTATGAAACATGGAAATGTGATAATTTGTAAATGGAAGTGAATAAAACAAGAGCTCCTGTTTTTGACTTACATTTTGTATCTTCTTTCATATATTGAAATGTTGATATAAATGCTTATTCTATTAAATAACTATTGAACTTAGATGTGACATACCTGAAAATTTGTAAAGATGCTACCAACACATTGACAATGCAGTGATGATGTACATCAAATTTTACCGAGTAGCTCTATGAATATATACAGGATGTTTCCGAATTCGACTGACAAATTCAGAGGAGTGTTCGCATAGAGCATGGGATTGCAAACCATGTTTAGTGGGAGAAAATCATAAAAATAGCTATGAAGGTTGTGACATTGAGTAAAACAGAAAGGGAAAAAGATAAGTCTAAAAACATATATTTGACATAAAGCAGGATTACAGTTCATCACATTTCAGTATCAGAAAAGAGAGGACTAAACAGTTTTATAGGAATTATTCGTAGGTGCGGCCAGGGAGGTTATTGCACAGCCAACGCTAACAGATGAAGGATTGCCGGACGAGTTCATACATACCTGGTGTGCTGGTGACGGTTGCTAAAGCAATGATAATCTGTGCAGTCAGATCCTCTAGTATATCCACAGATGGATTTCAGGTTGGAAATCTAATAGATTGAGGTCCGGGAAGGCTAAACTGCAATCGCGAATATGCTGGTGCACCATCATGTATGAACCACATGTTCTGAATGAAGTTTAATGCCTGCGAATTCTGCAATGCTCACTAATGAATACTTGTTCAGTGCTTATATTTTTATATGCATTGGAAATTTGCATACAAGAAGGTTTCTTCTTGATCGCAGTGCTTCTAGTCCTCCCATTTGTTTAGTCGCTGTCTTCATTAGGCTCACTGTGTTCTTGACATATATTTTTGGGATTTTTGCTGACTAAACATGGTTTGTGACCCCATGTTCTATTGTGATTTCTCATCTTCTTACTGTCACCTCTCTAAATCTGTCAATTGAATTTGACAACACCTTGTACATTAGCAACTTGCGCTGGAAGTTATAGTCATTATTATATATTTTCATATTAGTTTTACAAGAAAAAATAAACTTAATTTTGCTTCCACCAATTATGGATAAGCATTATCACAACACAATCATAACATCTGTGCTTTTGCTTGATGTAACTCTGAGTGATTCATGAAAAGCCACCTTTTGCATTAATGAATGAGGATATAAATTTATTGTTGCTGCTGTTTATTTTTCTTCTTTCCAATTTTAAAGGGGGGGGGAATTAGAGGGCTGTAAAATCCCATTTGTGTCTGCAATTCAGTTGGGGAAAAGAATAGCTAGATATGACAGGCAAAACAATACTGAACTACTTACTATTTTGTTTGCCGTTCTGATGTTTAGTGCACAATGGACAGTCTGAAATCAATGAACATAATATAATTTAAGAAATTAAATTACAAACTGATAAACAGGGTTCGTAGCGGTCCTTGCAAGTGCTTATAAGTACTTATATTTGAAAATAAAATATAAAAACCCTTATAGGTGCTTACTTTTTCTCTAAAGCACTTATTTTTTTGTTACTAAAAACAATTATTTTTTTGCCTTAAGCTTTTTTTTTTTTTAACGAACGCACATTTTTTACCCGTACTGGACGAGTTCATACATACCTGGTGTGCTGGTGAATCCAAAACTAAATAAACAACTTTTCTTCCTTATATGGAACGTCAGATGGTGAATCATACTCCCAGAAATAGCTTTTTGCCCCTTTCTCTGCATTAACATAACCTTTGGTGTGTGCGAGTACAGACAGGTGAATGTCATTCTATTGGCCAAAGAATTGCAAAAGCAGTAGAAAATTCTAGTATGTTCCATATTCTTTTGCTCACCAATATTACTTGTATTTGAATTTCTATCAAGATTTTTAATAATTTACATTCTCATTCAGCATGGTCAGTTCATATTCATGCTTATTATGATTGGTATGCTTTTGTTATGAGCATATGTATGAATATTTATAATAATATATTTGAAGTATAGATAAACTTCAAAAATGGGTGTGTTTTAACACAGATTAGTTTTCTAAGGAATAATATTCAAAATGGCATAAATAAAGTGAAAGTAATCGAATAGCCAAAATAAATTTTTGTACAGATTATACATGCATTATATAGTACGGAAGTTGGGTTTTCTCTCCTTCTCCGCAAAATCTCAAATATTGAAGCCGTTACAGTTCGCAGCAAAGCAAGAAACGGAAAATTTTTTTTTGGTCATTGTCCAACCTGGATTGAATAGGACTAAAAGTTCTGCGGTCTACCAACCCAAGCAAAGAACGATTCTATTCCGGAAATTTAATGCAGTTTGTTCAAAATTAGAATGGAAAATGCCCCAGATTGGTAAATCTCTATTAATCAATACGAGTACCAGGACATGTCCTGCTCAATGGTAAATATGGCACATGGGCGCATGACGATGAAAACCGGATGAAGCAAAGGGGCATTTTCCTTTATTTAGTTATTTATTCACCGAATACCGGCACCTGTATCACGTGGAAGAATTAAGGTGCACGTATTGCACAATAATGTTTGCAATATTTTGCAGAGATAAGAGTTTTACTGTGCTTGTTAAGCAGATTATTTTTCAGTTCCATTGGGCTATGTTTTATATGATGCACATATCGAAATGTCAAAAGTATTATTTAGCTGAAAAACCTAAAGAACAGCTACCCCCTTCCTCTTTTACCAGTTACTCTCAACTATCTGGAATTTTTAGGTATTCGGCAATATCTGAGTGTGCCAGTTAGTTAAGCTTTCACTGTTAAAGGATGACTGCATGAAGCAATTTCCCATCTTCTGATTTCAGAAAAGTTCCATTTTTTTGCTTATTTTTACTTGAATTATTTTGCTTGCAATATCTGTTAAGGGAAAACTGTTATAAAATGAAAACTTAGAAAATGTTCAGAATTTTGATTAAAGTTAAATTATTTAACTATTAATATGAGTAGAAAAATAAATTGCGTTTATTTTTAGGTCCCAAGCGAATATAATAAATATGGCTTATTATTATTTATTTTCGCTGTTTTGAACTGAAATGTCATCATTAAATCTTGTAATATAATTTAGCTCTGCATAGTTTTTTTTCCCTTTCATTGTAAACTAGTTCTGTAAATTGAACTGTTATTTAAAATGGGGGGGAAAAAAGTGATTGTTTTCCATGGTTGAGTAATGCTCATACTCTCTTAATAAATACTGAATTTCTCATATTTTAAATTACAAGTCTAATTTTTCTTTTAAGGTTATGCAGTTGTGTATAATATCATTAGGTGCTTTTTTTTTTTTCTTAAAATGTCCTTGAAAAGTGCTTATATGGCTTATTTTTTTAACTAAAATGTGGCTACGAACGCTGTAAAGGAGCATGTTATTACTGTTTAACAATGTAAATGTATTTTAAAAATAAAACTACTGATTGTTTTAAGTGAGTCGCATTTAAGGGGTCTGAGCAGCATTTAAAGAGTCGCATGCAGCCCGAAAACCACAGTTTGATTGTGCCTGTGTGCAATTTTGTCTGATAAAAACTTATTCTTGTTCACTTTATTCATTAATTTTATTTATTTTTGACCTGGTATTATTATAATGGATTCTAGATTGAGAAAATTAATCCCATTAAAAATCTAGAAAATTAGACTCTATAAAATGAAATTCTTCGCAAAATTCTGGATGGAAAAATGTGTTTAAAAATTGCAAAAGAATATGATAAGGCAGTTGTCACCACTTTTGCAAAAGATATATAGGGTTATCTGAAAATAACACGAAAAGGTGAAAATTCAGTAATTCAAAAAGTATTGTTATGTTCTTTTATTCGTCTGACACCAGTTGTTACGTTATTTTCTTCCTTCACGTTCGTACGGGGTTCATAGATTTGGAGTGAATAACGACAACACTTGATGAAGTATCGAAACATACTTTATTAGCCAGTATTGTCAGGACAGTTCCAAAACACGTTTTTCAATCGTCGATGAATTACTATAAACATGCTGACACGATCAGTGACACAGCCTTCAGGTTATCAGGCTATCACGGTGGAGGCAGCTTCCTGCAAAGCACCCGACTCTGCTTTCCTATGCTAGTCTATGACTTTTTGAAGGTGAACAAACTTGTGGCAGAGACGTAGCTAAGGTTTTTAGTGCCCGGGGACACCTAAAAATTTTTTGCCCCTTTCTGTGTTCCAAGAATAGAAAACATTTATTTCAGAATGATGAAATGTGTATCATCAATTTGGCGCCCCCTGGATGCTGCGTCCGGGGACAGATGTCCCCCCTTGCCCCACCCTAGCTATGCCACTGACTTGTGAATCTCGTGTATCAGAAGCTGGACTTGAGGATTAGCACTAACAACAACAACATAACCTAACTAATTTTCATTATTAAAACTTGAATTTTAATATCATATGTAATACTATTACTTAAAAATTATGGTTTTTATTTTTATTATTACATTTCCAATTTTCTTATTTTACACAAAATTCAAAGACCCCATAGCTTTCTTCAAATACAAATTACATTAATCTGCATCCACAGTAACAAGCTGATGTGTTAATTCACCAATGGTGAATGGATGTTCGACAGCGACTTGTAAAGGCATTCATTCCTTGTGTAAGGAAGGCAACTGGTTTTTATGAAGGGCTAAATATACCATAATATTAAAAGTTAAAACCTCATCCCTTTATATACTCGTATATGTATAAAATAGAAATACTAATTATATATGAAATAATGAATATCTTATTTTCATTAGGTGAGAACCTTCAAATTTAGTTTTAGCATATTCTATCTTTGCGTACAATTATTCATTAATTTTAACAGTATTTACCGAATTCTATAACAATTTTTCGTTTATTTTGTGTTGAAATCTTTCTCAAAATAGTTATAAAATTTTTAGCAATAATTAAAAATTTTTGATATAAATTCAAAAATATAAATTTTTATCTTAATAATCTCCCCTAAAATTAAAATATCTAAATTCATTATAAATGTAATTACTAGAAACCGAAGTCACCCAGACGGTATAGTGGTTAGGGGAGTCTAC